CCTTGGCCTGGGCAACCTGGCAGTACTCAGCCCACAAGCCAATCGTGGAACATTTTTCTTTTATAAAGATTATTGTACCATGATTTGTTTGGCACACAGTCTGTCCTCAGACAAGTGTGAAATATATATATATATATATATATATATAATGTTCAGTTGTTCGTCGAGCTTGGCAACTGTATTGCAAACGTTTCATCACCAATCGAGGTGAGATGCTCGATGCAATAACTGGGTGAGCGCTTACTAGTGTCTTTTCCCTCTTATAGATCGTTGAGTGACGCAGAGACGTGAAGTTGCCTGATTGGCTGTTGGTTTGCTTAGTGCCGATAAGGGATGAAGTGGACGCGGGCAGTCTGACGAATGGTCGTTGATCGATCAATCTAAGCGCTACTATTGTCTTGTTGTCACGAGTGACACGATCCACTGTTGCGCTTATTAGTCCTTTTGTTACATGAGGGTGTATACTTGATCGGTATCAATGTGTCGGTGGACCAAGTTTTCCGATAAATGCTGAGCTTCCAGAAATTATTTTGCGTGTTTGGTGTGGGTCTGATTGACGAATGTTTTCAAAATGGAAGTTGCCTTTCTTGGTTCTCGTTAACTGAGATGAGTGCCAGCGCATCGCGTCTTCTGACAGCCAGTTTGTGTTCGTGCACGCGAGTTGTTAGTTTTCTCTGTGACCGATATAGTTCTTGTTGCAAGCCAAGCAGTTGATGCGGTAGATCACAGTTGTTCGATTTTTGTTTTCCTATTGCTTCTTTGTTTTCGATGAGATGATCCGTAGGGTTATCTTTGGTTTGCAGGCGACTTGAATGTTGTGTGGCTCCAGTATTCTCGTCGTCATTTCCGAAATGTTCTTCACACACGGTAGGGTTATGCGCTTATTCGATTGTCCGTTTGTCCTTGTGTGTTGATGTGTTCGAGGAATGCAAATTTTTCTTTTTGTTCTGTATCTTTGGTAAACTTGATACACGGGAAGATATTGATGCCGTTGAAAGTTCTGTCCATTTCCAATCGCTTCAGGATAACGAACGTATCACCTACTAATTTAAGTCAGAGTTTGGGCTGGAGTTGTGGTAGAATCATCCTTTCGAGTTTTTGCATTACGACTTCAGCAATGAATCCGTAAATTGGTGAACCCTTGGGTGTTCCTCTCAACTGTTCATAGACTTCACCGTTGAATTGGAAGTACAGTTGTAGGCATAGGTCTTTTAGTAGATATATTGCTATCCAATGTTTGGTGTATCTGTCGTTCTTCTAGAAGCTTCTTTAGGGTTTCCCGGGCCAAATAGAGGTTGATGGAAGTTTAA